GAGGGAGGAAGGAAGGAGTCTACAGGGTAAACCCTGGAGTTGGCATTGGAGGAAAGCTAGGCTGTGTGGGCAGCAGCTAGAGAGCGGCCTTATGGGAAGGGCCCAGCAGGTTAGGGGGAGAGGGGCTTTATCCTGGGAACAGTGGGTATACTGGTAGGATGAAGATCCTGGATTTGTATTCAATTAAAAGGGCTCTGGGAGCTGTGGAGAGAGATAGTTCAGCCTTTAAGAGCACATAATGCTCATGCAGAGGACCCAAGTTCGGATCTTAGCACCTATGCTGGGCAGTTCCTGAGGATCAGGTAGTACCTACACTCACACCTTCACACACACATCTTCTGGTTGTTTTGTTTTTCGAGACAGGGTTTCTCTGTGCAACAGCCCTAGCTGTCCTGGAACTTGCTTTGTAGCCCAGGCTGGCCTTGAACTCATGGAGATCTGCCTGCCTCTGCCTCCCCAGCACTGGGATTAAAAATAAAAGAATTGTTAAAAAGAAATAAAGGAATCGCTGTAGATAAAGCTACAATAAGGAGTGGGCATGGGAAAGCCGGAAGCCAGGGAAACAGCAAGCAGCTCTGGTGACAGACAGGAGAAGCAAGGCGGAGGTGGGCTGAGCAGGAGCAGGGCTGCACACATCCAGAGTGCCTGAGCTGCCACACACCTGCACCGGGGGCCTGCCCACCCACGAGGAGCAGTTTGCTACTTCACTGACGGTTAGTGTTGGGTCTGCCCTGGGTTTATCCCAGACATTCTGCTGAAACCCATAGTGCTATTTGGTTGCTCGGGGATTATGTCTCTACCCCAGGAAACCAGAAAAATGGGCACTAGCTATTAGTGAAGCAGGAGTGTCTCCTTAACACGTTTGATCAACTTCCAGCACTTCCATTAATAGTTACCATCTTAACGGGAAAAGATTTTGGACTCCCAGTATCTCTTGATAAATAAACCTTAGCTTGGTACATCAAAGAGCATGGAGGAACCATGCTTCCCTTCGCTGTGTGGCTGGCTGCCAGCTGTACCTCTCCCTGTTTCCTCTACAGAGCAGCTCTGATTCCTTACACAAAGCCACAGGAGTAGAGCCTAGAGGAAGCTATTTAAGCCAAATTGTTCTCCTCCTCTTACCCTGCTGATGTTTATGGAACAAGACAGTCATGAAAAGACCCCTTGGGCTGGAGATAGAGCTGGCCTGCTTATTTGTGTTTGTTTGTTTGTTTGTTTGTTTGTTTTTGAGAATTATCATAGCCCAGGCTGGTCGAATTCACTCTGAATCTGAAGATGACTTTGAGCTCCTGATATTCCTGCCTCCACCTACCAAGTGCTGGGATTACAGACGTGCACTGCCATGCGGTTCATGCGGTGCTGGGGATCAACCCCCAGGGTTTCAGGCTGCGAGGCAGGCCCTCTACCAGCTGAGGTGCATCTCCAAGCCCAGAAAGCACAGCTTAGCTTCCCCAAGGAGGAAGAGTCAAGTGCTGGGAGATGAGATACAGGGGTAGACAGAGCTCGTGGCGATCTTCTGCCAAGGTCTTCCTGTGGTCATGGGGCAGGACACCCAAGTCACAGTTCTAGAGCTGGCATTTGTTGCCCACACTGACTTAGCGTCCCTCCTTGTCCTAGTTTGTTTTCTATCGCGGAGGTAAACACCAGACGCAAGAGCAGCCTGAGGGGGAAGGGTTTAGTTTGACCTTGAGTGTCACAGTCCATCAGGCCCAGAACTCAAGGCAGGAACCTGGAGGCGGGACCTGATGCGGAGGCCATGGAGGAACACTGCTTACCGCTTACTCCCCATAGTTTGCTCAGCCTGCTGCCTTATAGCTCTCAGGATCACCTGCCCGGGGGGCACCACCCACAGTGAGCTGGGCCCTCTGGGGTCAATCATCATTCAGGAAACTGTCCCGCAGGCTCCCTCCAGGCAACTGGGCAGAGGTTATGTTCTCAGCCGTGTTTCCTCTTCCCAGAAAACTCGAGCTTGTGTCAGGCTGACCAAAAAACAAATAAACTAACCAAAACACCATCCCGGTACCCAGATGTCCCCCATCCATGGAGTGGAGGCAGGATTTCATTCACGTATGCTCCCATTCATTCTACTGGCCCTTGTAACCCTGCTCTTAGCAGGCCTGGGTGGGGATGTCATGCTGACTTCATAGGCCGAGATCTGGCCCTCCCCATGCAGCCAGGCCCACGCCTGACTGGGTTTGGCATTCCTTGATTTGGCCCTGTCTTACACTCCTGCCCAGGACACACAGGGAGCACCTTGGTGGCAGTCAGAGGTGGCCAGTCTGCTCGTCAGACTGGCCTGCCATGGCCAGCAGCACAAGCAGTGACTCTGAAGGAGGCCTAGCTGCAAATGCCCCGTCCGCCTGGCACATGAGTTCCTCATCTTCTGCCCAGGATCTTCTCCAGGTCCTGCAGAACCAGACAGGGTCACTTGTGGCAGTCTCCCATGCCTCTGGTTACATGCCAGCCGTCACCGGTTCACACACTAGGCCGCTCTGCTCCTGCCGGGATTTTCTCAGCTCAGGAGTCCCTATACCAATGTTTCAGTGGCCAGAAAACATAAGCAAATAATCTAGGGCCAAAGAGGCAGAAGATCAGATTGAAGGCCCCACCACCACCACCACCACAAAAACCAAGGGAAGCAGCCAGATGTGGTGGCTCACACCTGTAATCCTAGCACTTGGGAGGTGGGTCAGGAATTGAGGACTGGCTTCAGCTCTCTACATGAGACGTTGTCTCAAAGAAAAAACAAAAAAAAAAAAAAGGACAGGGATGTAGCTCAGTTGATAGAGTGCTCACCTATTATGCACAAAGCTCTGCGTTCCATCCCTAGAACAATATAAACCAGGCAGGAGGATCAGGAGTTCAAGGTCATCTTCAGCTACTTAGTTTGGGGCCAGCCTGGGCTACATAAGACCCTGTCCCAAAAACCAGTCATCTATCTTAGATGAGAAGCATGTAGTGGCCCCAGAGATGGTCTTATAATTTGACACTGTCACTGCAGTGTGCACAGTCACCGTTGGCTTCTGCAGTCTCACTGTCCAGCCCCCGCCCCCGCCGATTTGCAGAGTAGCTGTGCTCCATGACTGCAGCTGCCAAAGGCCAGCGCTGCTCTTGTTCTACCTCGTTCCCTCCTCTGCTTCTTCCTCTGCTCCAGAAATTGTTGCTTCTCAAGCAGAAGCTTAAGGGCAGCCACAGAGGGTAGCAAGTGCTGTCCCTGCCTGCTGTTCCGGAGCCTGTCCCGTGTCCCCTGGCTCTGGCTCTGCCTCTGCAGGGATGGGCCTGAGAGCACGGGGAAGCACGCAGTGCCGCATTGCACCGTGACAGGGTCAGCTCTGCATCCCAACCACAGTCATCCGAGTCGTGGTTTTGTTGAGGGTGTGTGAGTCTCCAAACAGGGAGCATCAACCCAGGGCAGCACCTGCGCTGTCTGCCTCAGCTGTGAGGGAAGGCTAAATTTAGTTCTGGCAACCTGGAAACAGATTCCCTCCAGCTCCTCACTAGTGTCTGTCACCCTGTCCCTTGCTCCTTCCCTGAACTGCTCTGGTTTTTAACTCTGCCGCTCTGTAGCTTTAACCGCACAGATCTCAAACACCTTGTTGGCGGCAGGTGGTTGTTATCAGCAGTGCTGACAGTGGGTGCTTGCAATAGAAATCCTAAGAAAACCAAGAATTTGCACCAAAGTAACCCAGTCAGGCCACCTTGGAACAGTGATTTCCAACAGAGAAGCTTCATTGATTTGTTTTGGGTTTGTTTTGTTGTTTTCTATTTGTTTTGTTTTGTTTTGTTTTTGAGACAGGGTCTCATATAGCCCAGGCTGGCCTCAAACTAACTTGCTGTAGTTTAAGGATAACCGTAAACCCTTGATCCTCCTGCCTCTACCTCCCAAATGCTGGGATTATGCCATCATGCCCAGTTTATTTGGTGATGGGATCGAACCCAGGGCTTCATGCATTCTGTACAAGCACTCTACCAACTGAGCCACACCCTTAGATTTTTTTTTAAGGTAATAACTATAACTGGCTAAGCAGTCGCCCCAGACCTTTGTTTTGTTTTTGTTGTTTGTTTTTTGAAACAGGGTTTTACTATGTAGACCAGGCTATGAAAGGCATGCACCACCATGCCCAACCTGTTTCTGCTTTGCTTTTTTGAGGCTGAATCTCTCTGTTTGTGACCCAGGCTGGTCTCAACCCCAATACCCTCCTAAATCAGCCTCCCCAGTGTTGAAGTTATAGGTGTTACCTTCCACACCTCACACCACTGTGAGCTTGGGGACTTAATATACGTGCCAACCCTAGGCAAACTGCAGGTGGCCAGCTGACAGTCTGTGGTATGCAGTCCTCTGCCACCTGAAATCTTCACAGGCCTTTAGAACTGATGGGGAACCCTGCACCTGGACCGTTCCCAGCTCCAACTGTTCCAGGAGACAGGACTGGTATAATGTGCCACTGTGGTAATGCTACCTCTGTGGCAACTGTCAGAACTTCTTCCCTGAGAGATGAAGAAATAGTTTTCCTCATCAAAGAGACTAGGAAATTTGTCAAAATCCGTGGTATGGAAGAGCTGTGGGAACTGTGTACTTGGAGGTTTACCTCCCTAATTATGGAGGGATGTGCATTTCAGTTCTGTGACTTGACTGCCAGAAAAACTAGGAAAAACCGCTGTTGTCCCAACTTCTTATAAGGCTGAAGCAGAAGGATGGCAAGTTCAAGACCAGACTAGGCAACTTAGCTTGTAAGAACCTGTCTCAACATAAAAAGTAAAAAGAAAGCAAGGGATCTGTGTCAGGTAGAGCCCCTGCCTAGAATCCCCCAGTGAGGACCTGGGGTGTGGCTCAGTGGTAGAGCCCCTGCCTAGAATCCCCCAGTGAGGGGCTGGGGTGTGGCTCAGTGATAGAGCACCTGCCTAGAATCCCCCAGTGAGGGGCTGGGGTGTGACTCAGTGGTAGAGCACCTGCCTAGGATCCCCCAG